AATGGCTTATCGAACAAGTGGACTCTATTACAACATCCCTTTCTTCCCCTTCTCCTGCCCACAGCAAGGAGCCCTCAATCAGGAATTGATCAAACGGCAACTGTTTAAACTCGTTAATCCAGGAGGGACCGGGGAAAAAGAAGGGCTTTGTTCCCTCCACCTTTTGTCTGGAAAGGAGCATTTGAGCACAATGGCAGCCGAACCACGCTCGCGCGTCAAAGCACTGCGGCACTTTCACTGAGGAATCGAGCTCCATTTAATCGGAAATATTCACCCCACACGGCAGGGAACGGATGTCCCTCTTGGTGGCCCCGTATCTCTAAAATGGCCTTCAAGCGCCGAGCCCTGCTCGCTCAGTCGCTCCCGGCCGGCCTGACTGAGCGCTGGTGGTGTCTCTGGGGCAGCGGCCATCTCCCCGTCACCTCGAACCTGCCTGGACGTTTTAAAAAGGGCTCGTCGCCACCCGCACCCCCACCCCTCCCCGACAGCCTCCTTCAGGTCACGCCCAGAAGCGGGGCGCCCCAGGCCCGACTCCATCCCGCCACCCTGGGTGCTGGTTTCAAAAGAAACCGTTTTTTTTTGTGTGTTGGCCCTCATTTCTCATTTGGGGCGGAGCAGTGGCTTTGTGGCTCAGGATCTGCGCCTGTGGCTGGAAGGTTGCCGGTTCAAATCCAGCGGTTGGCAGAGGAATCCTACTCTGTTGGGCCCCTGAGCAAGGCCCTTAACCCCACCTGCTCCAGGGGCGCCGTATAAATGGCTGACCCTGCGCTCTGACCTAGCTCTGCGCGCTAAACTCAAAACACCTAAGCAACCTGCCCTCCATAAAGTCCCAGGATCACAGCGTTTTGTTTTGCATGGATCCTGCACATAACAGATTGCTCATGCACTATGCACTGTCCATTGCCATTCGAATTTGTATCAGAAAGAGCGATCAGTATTGATCAGACATATTGCACCGGTCCACGCAAGGTGTGCGCTAAGCTGAAAATAAGGCTAAGCTGATTCCTAACCTAAAGGTCAGCCTTTTCAGTCCATCAATCTTACGCTTTTATAATGCGGTGTGCATCTCACGTCAAGAATAATGAACTGCTTTAACGTGGACTTTTTCATCCCAAATTACTTTACGTCCAGGAGAAAACATTCCACTCAGCTCCACTAGAGTGCAGCCTGGTTTTTCTTAGTTTAATTCGTTTTTGATGAAAGGAAGGACAAGCCCATTGAGTGCCAAATTTCTGTTTTTAATGGTGAAACTGATCTAGGATATTATCTGTGGGAAAAAAAAGAAGCCAGCAAAAACAAAAGTCAGCTGGGCAGATACGTAGCTGACATTTTCAACTTACTTACAGAGGCCAGCTGGCAGAATAACCTGAGCAGTTTGGTTTTAGCCCTCATCCACAGCACAGAGCACTGGGCCGAGGAGGGGTATCCTAGAGGAACTGCTCAAGGCAGGAGCTGGGACTTGAACCAGGAACCTCTTGGTGACACAGCCCCTGACCTTGACCACCGCACCCCCCCAGCCTTTGACCCCTGTCAAATCACTGCCAACGCTATAAAGAATTCCCAGTTCTGCCGCATTTCTGTTAATGCTGATAAAAACACAGAGGAAAAGCCTGCCCCTGCCCTATTAGTCTCTGACGGCTCTTTAATTTTATTGACAGCTTCTCATTACAAGAGCAGGGAACAATGCAGGCCAGCCAAGCCACACGGATCGTCCCAGCAGTAACTAAAGCCTGACATCTAAAGAGAAAAGATTACACCGCAGCTCCATTGCCTGTGATCTTTATCTAATAAGCCTTGGAAAATGAATATTCACCTGTCGCGGGAGATTGCACAAGTCGATATTTATTTTTTTTCCCTCTGAACTAAAGCAGACGGTGGCTTACAACGTCTTTCTCTTTTTGCTCCAGTCGACACAAGACAAATACAAAGAGGACCCAGGGAAACTGCTGATCGGCCCTGATCGTGAGAGTCGGGGGGGGTGGGAGGTGACGGAGGAGTGGAGACAACACTTGCATTTCAAGACACGCAAAACACAGGGCAGGGGGAGAAATAGAGAATCTGCTTCACCAGGCTCCCATCTCTGGATGCAAAATAAAGCACAAACAGCCGCCCCCACCCCCCCCTCCACCACCCGCCCACCCCCTAAGAGCCATGTCTACTTTCTCTGTGCTCCCTGGGACGTCTGTAACCTTTGCAGGAAAACAATGGTGGCGAAGTGTAACCTTTAGCTTCAGATGGGTTGTTCAACATGATGGCAGCCAGTTAAATGTCAATCTTAATATCACCGCTGAAGCCTGTCATTCTCCAAACCAATTACTCACAAATGGCCCCCTTGACAAGCCCCCCTACCCCCCCC